CTGGCAAAGTCCCAAGTACGGTCCTGTTGCTTGAAGGAGGGAATGATACAGGGACAAATGCGCAACCCTCGACGTCTACGCCGGGTAAGGCGCCCATTGTGAAGAGAAGGAAGCAAGGGGAAGAGGAAGATGACGGTGATACAACAATGACTGAAGAGGCGGTCTCCTTCGAGGAGGACCGCCGAGCCCAATGAATGTCTTAAGTTGGAACTGCCGGGGAGGGGGGAATACCCGGACAGTTCGTGAGCTAGCGACTATATGTCAGTCGCATTCCCCCAGTCTGGTGTTTTTGTGTGAAACAAGACAGAAGGTAGAAAAAATGAAAAAGGTGCGAGGAAGAATTGGGTTGAGGGGTTTTGCCGGAGTTGATAGTAATGGTATGAGTGGTGGTCTGGCGTTGTTTTGGCATGAGAATTATGAAGTGGAAATTCTGGACAAGGAGGAGCAGTATATTGATGCACTTGTCCGTGTTCAGGAAGGGGCAGTTCAATGGCGGATTACATGTGTCTATGGTGAACCACGAGTTGAGAATAGGCACATTATGTGGACGAAACTAGCACACTTAAAAACCATGAACGACCTGCCTTGGCTTGTTGTCGGTGATTTCAATGAGTGCATGTGGGATTTTGAGCATCTGTCTACCTCATAGCGTGGCGAGTCACAAATGGTTGCATTTAGGGATGCCTTGGAGATTTGTGGCCTGGTAGATCTAGACTTTGTGGGGGTTCCATTCACTTATGATAACAAGAGGGGAGGAGGAGGCAATGTCAGAGTTAGGCTGGACAGGGCAGTTGCCACTAATACATGGAGGAACTTGTTCTCCTATGCATCGGTGTTACATGTCCCCTCACCATGTTCGGATCACGTAGCTCTTGTACTAAAGGGAGAGGACGATTTGGGGCCAAAGGGAGGAAAGCAGAGAAGATATGAGGTGTTCTGGGAGCGGGATACATCGCTACCGGAGGTGGTCAGAGAGGCATGGGAGGCAGTGGGGGAGGTGCATAATATGGCACAACTGCGGGATGCTCTGACTAAAATGATGATTGCTCTACGGGTATGGAGCAAAAAATTTGGTAATATCACACGGGAGTTAGCCAAGTCGCGCACACAGCTAGAGGAGTTGATGAATATAAACGCCGACCGGCAGGATATTTAGAGGGTGACTGATAAAATGAATGAGCTACTGTATCAAGAGGAGATGCTTTGGTCGCAAAGATCATGTATCACATGGTTGAAGGAAGGGGACAGAAACACGAAATATTTTCAGAGTAAAGCAGTATGGAGGGCGAGGAAGAACAAGATTCGTGAGCTTATAGATAGCGTGGGTGTAGTCCACACCGACCTTACTTCTATGGGGGAACTGGCTAACGCGTATTTTCATAATATTTTTTCAGCAGATCCCGTGCTTAATGCTACCCCAATTCTGGATCTAATTGATCCGGTGGTGTCTGATGAGGAGAATGTCAAGTTATGTGCACCCTTCACTGATAAAGAGATTTCAGATGCCTTGTTCCAAATTGGGCCTCTGAAAGCTCCGGGTCCGGACGGCTTCCCAGCTAGATTCTTTCAGAGGAACTAGAGCACTCTAAAGGAGAGGGTTTTGGTAGCGGTAAGGGACTTTTTCACTACGGGTATCATGCCAGAGGGGGTAAACTCTACATCTATTGTACTTATTCCCAAGGTCGCCAACCCGGTAAAAATCACAGATTGTAGACCCATTAGCTTGTGCAATGTTATCTATAAAGTCATTTCCAAGTGCCTGGTGAATAGGACGAGGCCACTACTGGATGATCTCATATTGCCTGAGCAAAGTGCTTTTATTCGAGGGAGAATGATCACGGACAATGCACTAGTTGCCTTTGAGTGTATCCACTACATCAAGCAGGAGAAAGACACTACAAAAAGTTTTTGTGCGTATAAATTGGATCTCTCAAAAGCTTATGATAGAGTGGATTGGGTCTTCTTGAGGCAGATGATGCAAAAGATGGGTTTCTCTCAGTGTTGGGTTGACTGGATAATGTCGTGCGTCACAACGGTGAGATACTCTGTCAAACTTAATGGAACCCTCCTGGATTCTTTTGCGCCGACGCGAGGGCTTCGGCAAGGAGACCCGCTTTCTCTGTTTCCATTTTTGCTTGTAGCAGATGGTCTATCAGCTCTACTAAGAAGTAAAGTGTCTACGGGTGTTATCACCCTAGTGAAGGTTTCGAGGAGAGGACCGGGTGTTTCGCACCTATTGTTTGCTGATGATACGTTGCTATTTTTCGAGGCCTCGAGAGTGCAAGCAGAAGAGATTAAAGGTGTTATGGATATGTATGGTAGAGCGACAGGCCAGAGCTTAAATCCCAACAAGTGCTCCATCTTGTTTGGTGATGCTTGTCCCGCCACGGTCGAGGAGGAAGTGCGATCGGTACTACAGATTACAAACCTGCACTTCGAGGAAAAATATCTGGGACTGCCTATATCGGAGGGTAGAATGTCTAAAGGGCGTTTTCAAAATTTGCAGACCCGACTCACCAAACGGCTGATTCAGTGGGGTGATGGCCTTTTGGCGTAGCCGGGGAGAGAAGTGATAATCAAGTCAGTTGCTCAAGCGCTCCCAACGTACATCATGGGTGTCTTTAAGCTGTCGTTCTCGGTGTGTGATGATCTTACACGCATGGTTCGGAATTTCTATTGGGGTTCGGCAGAGGGCAAGAGGAAGGTGCATTGGAAGGGCTGGGATCACCTCATGCAGCCCAAGGATAAGGGAGGAATTGGTTTCCGCGACTTCCGGATGTTTAACCAAGCCCTGTTGGCTAGGCAGGCTTGGAGGCTGCTAACCAAGCCGGATACCCTTTGTGCTAGGGTTTTAAAAGCGCGGTATTATCCAGATGGCAAGTTGGTAGACACAGTTTTTTCTGGTAATGGTTCATCTTCTTGGCTTGCTATATGCCATGGTTTGGAACTGCTGAAAAAGGGACTGCTGTGGAGAGTTGGAGACGGAGCAAGTATAAGGGTTTGGCGAGATAGTTGGATTCCGAGACCTTTTTCATATAAGCCAATTTCCCCACAAGGACGATGTGGTATCCGGTTCGTTTCGGGACTTCTAAACACAAATGGATCCTGGAATGTTGAGCTCCTTCGGGCTTACTTTGTCGATGCAGACGTACATGAGATAATGAAGATAAGAGCTTCACCTAGACAAGAGGAAGATGTGATTGCATGGGGCCCTGGGCGGCATGGCATGTTTACAGTTAAGTCAGCATACGAGTTGGCCTTCGACGAGGCCTTCCGCAGTACAGCTTCCGCGTCCAGTTCATCGCCCTCGGGGAGCTGCACTTGCTGGGACTACATTTGGAAGTGTGACGCTCCACCTTCTGTGAAGCATTTTGCTTGGCATCTGGCTACCGATGCACTGCCCACTTGGCAGAGAAAACATCGAATTGGACTAGAAACTGCAGGTATTTGTCCAGTGTGTGGTTCAGAGGAGGAAGATAATTTCCATCCTTTTGTTTTGTGTCAGTTTGGGTGCGACCTGTTTTTGGCCATGGCCAAAGTGTGGAGGCTGCCCGATATTAGCTCAATACAAAACAATGGGAAGGAATGGTTGCTCCATGTGCTCAGTCCTCTTACCGCTCTTGAACGTACTATGTTATTGACGATCTTCTGGAGAAGTTGGTATGTTCGGAATGAGCTAGTTCATGCTAAGCCTGCGCCGCCGATGGAAGCTTCGACAAGATTTCTTCAAAGCTACATAGAGTCCTTGATCGGTATTAAACAGAATCCAGATGCTGAACCAGTGAAAGGCAAAACATACATTGAGTTGAGAGACACAAGGAGAAGGGAAGAAGCAGCGTTGTTCAAGAGGAACGGAGATGGATGGTACCGGACCCAGGGTGGTGCAAGCCGAATACAGATGGGTCATTCGTTAATTCTAATGAAGCTGGTGCTGGTTTGATCTTGCGTGACCATCTTGGAGCTATTAACTTTTCTGCATGTAGGGTTTTGTACGCGTGCAGAGACCCCCTTGAAGCGGAGCTGTGTGCATGCATGGAAGGCTTGTCCCTTGCATTGCAGCATTGTGATTTGCCAATTGCTGTGGGGTTGGATTCTCTCGAAGCGGTCTCTCTCATATCAAGCCCGGACATGGATCGTTCTGTTTACACTTCACTTGTTAGAGAGATTAAGTACTTATTGGGTCTTCGGAAAACTTGTATTTCTCATGTCGATAGAACTCAAAATAAAGCTAGTGATTGTTTAGCTAGTTTTGCTAGATCCCAAGGTAGGACCATGACTTGGATAGGAGCTGGTCCAGTTCAAGTAGTGGAGATAGCATCGATGGATTGTAAGGATGATGTGATTGAGTAATACATTGCTATTTCCCCTGCAAAAAAAGGTAATCCACGCACCCTGAAAAAAAAGATAACGTTAGCGCACAAAGTGACTTTGCGGCCACGGAGAGAAGTAGGAGCCCGTCAACTGAGGATGGTCTCCTTCCAAGTGGCCAAGTGGGGAAGCGCGAGGTGGACTTCTTGTAGGAGTAGAAGATAACGAGGGCTCTCGGGCCTCCAAAAAATCCTAAAATGGAACGATGACAGTGAGTGTGAGTGGTAGGTGAGCAGCTGCAATCCTGAAAGAGAAGATCGCATCCGAGTAGGAAGGAGGCTAGCAGCAACAGCCACAGCCAACGACCAACGTGCGCCGCCGCTCTCATATCTGCACGTGATCCACACCCACCCACGGGAGACTTTCCTACCTGGGCACGACCACCACAAAGACGACATCACCGAAGAAAATCTATTCAACAGAAACGGCAAGTTCCGATCGCCCACGACGTTTGATTGGATCACAAAATCTATGGCACTTCCGTTCTCAACTTGGCATGCTCTACCTTCTTCATTAGTAGACCACACCGCGCAGCAAGAATCCGGTTTCCACGCTAGCTTTCACCACAACACCACGCAGCCATCTCTGTTCTACTTCTCCACAGAGCAACCACACCAAGAAATTCCTTCCACATGCCTTCCCTTGGCTTGGCTCTGATGCTGCTGGCCTCTTTGATCTCTCCGACCAGCTCCTGCACAGACCATGAGAAGAGCTCCCTTCTCCAACTCCTCGCCGGGCTCTCGCGGGACGGTGGCCTCGCCGCGTCGTGGCGGAGCAACACCGACTGCTGCACATGGGAAGGGATCACCTGCAACCAAGATGGGAAGGTCACCGACGTTTCGCTGGCTTCTCAAGGCCTCGAGGGGTCCATCTCGCTGTCCCTCGGCAAACTCACCGGACTCTTGCGCCTCAACCTGTCGCGCAACTCCTTGTCCGGCGCCTTCCGCTGGAGTTGGTGTCGTCCGGCAGCATAATCGTCCTTGACATCAACTTCAACCGCCTGACAGGAGCGCTGCATGAGCTGCCATCCTCAACCCCTGCGCGGCCTCTGCAGGCACTCAACATCTCAAGCAACTTATTCACAGGACAGTTTCCATCGACCACATGGAGAGCAATGGAGAATTTGGTCGCACTCAATGCCAGCAACAACAGCTTTACCGGGCAGATACCAACGATGCCATGTGCGAGCTCGCCATCTTTAGCCGTTCTTGAACTCAATTTTAACAAATTCAGTGGAAATATCCCTCCAGGGCTCGGCAATTGCTCCGTGCTGAAGATGCTCAGCGCTGGCTACAACAACCTCTGTGGGACTCTTCTAGGCGAGCTCTTCAATGTCACCTTGTTAGAGCACCTCTCTTTGCCTAACAATTGGTTAGACGGACCTGTCAATGGCATCGGCAAGCTCACAAATCTGGTCACCCTTGATCTTGGGGGGAATGGTTTCAGTGGCAACATTCCAGAGTCTATAGGTGATTTGAAGAGATTGGAGGAGCTGCATTTGGAACACAACAATATGTCAGGGGAGCTGCCAACAGCTCTAAGCAAATGCACAAATCTCATAACAATTGACCTCAACACCAACCACTTCAGTGGAGAACTTAACAAGGTCAAGTTCGCGAGCCTGTCCAACCTAAGAAAATTAGATCTTCTCTTCAACGACTTCACCGGCATAATTCCAGAAAGCATATACTCCTGCACCAATCTGACTGCACTACGACTATCTTACAACCGATTCCATGGTAAATTGTCAGAAAAAATAGGCAATCTGAAGTCCCTCTCGTTCCTATCACTTGCTAACAACTCTCTTACAAATATCACAAGAACACTTCAGATCCTTCATAGTTCCAAGAGCCTCACTACCCTTTATATTGGGTGCAACTTCCTGCATGAGACCATGCCAGAAGATGACAACATTGGTGGTTTTGAGAATCTTCAGGTTCTTTCTATGAGTGATTGTTCATTGTCTGGAAAAATACCTGATTGGTTATCAAAGGTCACAAATTTGGGGATGCTATTTTTGCAAAGCAATCAACTAACTGGACCGGTACCTGACTGGATCAGCAGCCTGAACTTGCTTTTCCATCTAGACATATCAAACAACAGCTTTACAGGGGAAATTCCAACTGCCTTAATGGAGATGCCAATGCTGAGATCAGACAAGACTGCACCAAAGGTCTTCTTTGAGCTGCTTGTTTGGAACGAGAACACATTTATGCAGTACCTCATGCTCAGTGCTTTTCCTAAGGTGCTTAATCTAGCCATCAATAATTTCACTGGTGTGATCCCAAAGGAGATCGGACAGTTAAAAGGACTCATTTCACTCAACCTGAGCTCTAATAGATTATCTGGAGAGATGCCAGAGCAGATATGCAACCTCACGAACCTGCAGGTGCTTGACTTGTCTGGTAATCAAATCACTGGTACAATTCCAGCTGCAGTGAAGAATCTGCATTTCCTTTCCAGATTCAATGTTTCTAATAATGACCTGGAAGGCCCTATTCCGAACGTGGGCCAATTCAGCACATTTCCGGATTCTAGCTTTGGTGGAAAGCCAAAACTGTGTAGCCCTATGATCACAAACCATTGTGGTTCAGCAGAAGCAGGTCCGGTCTCCACAAAACACATTGGTAATGAGGTTATCTTTGCCATCGCCTTTGGTATTTTCTTTGGAGTAGGAGTCCTATATGATCAGATAGTCTTAGCGAGATATTTTGGCTAAAGCCTTGTAATTGTTCTCACTGCCCAAACCATGTGAGCTCAAGTGTTTCTCAGTTCAGCAAGACGATGCCAGTGGCTCCTGCCCCAGCAAGATGAACATCCCTGGTAAATCAGGTATCTCGAGTTACAGGCATTCAATCTGTACTGCATGTAAATCAAAATAGTTAGCGAGTTAGGAAATATCAAGAGTGTGTAATCCTACTATTTTTTGTAGAGAATATATAACCAGTCTTTCATTATTTACTTTGATAAAGGTGATTGAATGTTCATCCAGGATCAGTGATGAATACATATCATGCAAAATTGCCAGGGACAGCATACAACCATGAGAAAATTGCAGTTTAGCATACTAACATGCAGTTGAGACTTAAACCAATTAAGCAGACTGGCGATTTAATAGATTAATTAATTCATCATGGAAAAAACAGGGTGGAACCCTATAACTCAATACAACTGCCATCGAACTCAAACAACGCGCGCTGAGAGAAAATTTCAGAAATGTTGAAAGCACAAGTGCTCCCTAGGTGGTTTTGATAATTGATGACAACATATCTCTTGTTGGACTAACATTTCGATCTAGCATGTTTCAGATAAGTTCAACAATGGAGTGGCATGGACTAAAGGTTATGGGAACTCCTTCAAGATGCTAAGGACAAAGGATTGGCTAAAGCTTCAAGCTCAAGACTCCTCATTTTGCATTTTAGTGATCCAAGATCACATTGAGTCTTTAGGAAAAGCCAATACTATCAAGGAGGGATGAGGTGTTGCTTAGTGAGCCTCTTGCTTCATGTGCTTAGTGATATGCTCCAAAACCCTCAGCTACTTTCCCACTTCCACATATGACCTAAACCCTAAGCCAAACTCGGTCCTACCGATTCTTCCTATCCGGCGCCACCGAGTTTCACTTGTCATAAGCCACTGCCAAACCCTAATCAGTTCGGTCTCATCGATGGGATCTCGGTCTCACCGAGATGGGCTTGCAAACTCTCTGTTACCCGTTGCAATATTCTCGGTCCCACCGAGATATGCAATCGGTTCCACCGAGTTTGCTTGGCCAAATCTCAGTTTCACTTATTACCCAAATCGGTCCCACCGAGTTTGAGTAATCGGTCAAACCGAGTTTTGGATTTACCCTAACCCTAGCACATCGGTCCCGCCGAGTTGATCCAGTCGGTCCCACCGAAATCTCTAACAGTCACTAGGTTTACCTTTTCGGTCCGACCGAGTTTGTTGATTCGGTCCCACCGAGATTGGAAAACTGTGTATAACGGTTGGATTTTGTGTGGAGGCTATATATACCCCTCCACCTCCTCTTCATTTGATGAGAGAGCCATCAGAACACATACACCAATCCAACTCATTTGTTCTGAGAGAGAACCACCTACTCATGTGTTGAGACCAAGATATTCCATTCCTACCATATGAATCTTGATCTCTAGCCTCTCCAAGTTGCTTTCCACTCAAATCTTCTTTCCACAAAATCCAAATCCTATGAGAGAGAGTTGAGTGTTGGGGAGACTATCATTTGAAGCACAAGAGCAAGGAGTTCATTACCTACACACCATTTGTTACTTCTTGGAGAGTGGTGTCTCCTAGAATGGCTAGGTGTCACTTGGGAGCCTCCGACAAGATTGTGGAGTTGAACCAAGGAGTTTGTAAGGGCAAGGAGATCGCCTACTTCGTGAAGATCTACCGCTAGTGAGGCAAGTCCTGTGTGGGCGATGGCCATGGTGGGATAGACAAGGTTGCTTCTTCGTGGACCCTTTGTGGGTGGTTGCTTCTTCGTGGACCCTTCATGGGTGGAGCCCTGTGTGGACTCGCGCAACCGTTACCCTTTGTGGGTGGAGCCCTCCGTGGACTCTCGCAACTGTTACCCTTTGTGGGTTGAAGTCTCCATCAACGTGGATGTAGGATAGCACCACCTATCCGAACCACGGGAAAAACATTCGTGTCTCCAATTGTGTTTGATTTCTCCAAACCCTTCCCTTTACATTCTTGCAAGTTGCATGCTTTATATTCCGCTGCTCATATACTCTTTGCATGCTTGCTTGATATGTATTGTGAGTGTTGAAATTGTGCCTAAACTCCACTTAAACCGAAAAAACTTAAAAATTGCAACTTTAGCATTAAGTGTCTAATCACCCCCCTCTAGACACTTCTACTTCTAGATCCTACAAGTGGTATCAGAGCATTGGTCTCCATTGCCTTGGTTTAATCACCATTGGAGGAAGATGGATGTATCTACATTAGGGAGTCTTAGACATAGAGTGCCTATTCTTGATGGAGAATATTTTCATGAGTGGAAAAATGAGATGCTTGTAATCTTCAATCAATATCATTTGAACAAGTATATTGCTAGCCCTTGTGCATCTCATATTGATCCTTTGCATCCTACCCTAGATGAAGATATTGACATGACTCGCAATCTTAGAACTATTGAGCTCATCATTAGAGGATTGCCCAAAAATTTGATTGCTAGTTTGCCTACTCAGAATTGTGCCTATACTATATGGAAATTTCTTGAGGAACAATTTCCCGATCATTTCTTGAAAACTTTGGATGAAATTCTCCATAAATCTATTGCCTTGAGTAAGATGAACTCTAGTGATCCTAGTTTTGGTAAATGTCTATTTGAACTTACCAATCTTAAGCATGCTAAAGGAGATGTTGGAATCATTAATGATATCATATTCAAAGCTATAAGAATTCATAAAAGTGACCACTTTGATGATCATTTATCTAATGAATTACCCTCTCTAGGAAATGATGAGTCACAAGATCGTGATGAACATGAATATTATGATGATGATGATAGTGACTTCGATCTTGATAATGCAATGAGACATTTTGGTCTTATGGCAAATCTTTGGGGATATGAATCAGGAGGAAAGGAATGGGTTCTTGATAGTGGATGTACTGATCATATGACCGGAGATGAAGAGATGTTTCGTGAGCTTGCTGAAAATGACGGCCCTCGAAAATATGTCACCTTTGGTGATACTTCAAAGGGTAAAGTGGTTGGCCTTGGTAAGGTGGCCATCTCACATGATAGTTCCATTCAAAATGTCATGCTTGTTGAATCTCTTGGCTACAACTTACTTTCAGTATCTAGACATGCTGATTTCGGTTTGAATGTCCTATTTACTGAGGTAGATTGCCAAGTATTTCGTCGAGACAATCATAAAATGGTCTTTACCGGTATAGAGGTGATCTTTACATTGTCGATTTCTCTAAAAAGTCACAACCTAAAACTTGC